GCCACCGCGCCCGGCCAAAAACTTTAAATTTGATGAAAACTGTGAACAAGATACAAGAAAGCCAATGAACCCAAAGCACAGATCTCTTCTATTTCCAGTGCGTGGCTCTCAGCTGGCATGCCATCGATGTCTGATGAATAGATGAATGGTTGCTGTCAGTGCAGGCTGTCTCCCTGCTTTCTCCCTTTCTTTTCCCCCTCTTCTCCCACCCCAGCACCCACTTTGCTTCTCTTTTGCTTCTAGTACTTCTATTTACCAGAGTTATCTTGGATGCCTATGGTGGTATCTGGGCTATAAAAGCCACTAGGAGCTTGTCCTTGCTGTAGGCTTTGCCATTGAGAGCCTCCAACAATTCAGCCTCCTCCAAATTTGAGCATAGCCAGGGGTTTAGAGGTTAAAGCTAAAATATCATGAGTCCTGCCAGCACAGACTTGCCGGGGACTCCTGTTTTCGTAGTTCCCCTGTGGTGGCAGGGCCAGGAGGAGTGCCAAGGATGGACTGCATGCTGTGTTCTGCCCGGGCGTGTGGCCTCATTGATGGCCCACCTCTGCAGCTCCTTTGCATGTGAGGTCAGGCTGGTTGCTTCACTTCTCTGGGCTTCTAACTGTTTACTGGTGCTTGGATTTGATCATTTTTTAATCCCCTTCCGGCTCTGACATCTTAATACTTTCCTGCCACTATCCCTTGACCATCTTTCTCTTTGATGTGCCTCATCCTTGCTAATGGTGTGTGGAACCTGGAGAGGAGGAAGGCAGGTGGGCCTGAGACCCATTGTCCCTACCAGGCTCCTTCCTTCGGTGGCTCCCCAGAGTTTTCAGTCTAATTCCAAACTCATAACTCGGCACACCAGGCCTTGATTCTTAGAGCACGGTCTCTGGAATCACCTGCATCAGAATTAGCACTGCCTGTAATCCCCCATCCCCAGCTTGTTAACAGTGAAGATTCTGATTGGGAAGGTTGGGGATGGGTCACAGGAATCAGTGTGTATGATAAGCACCCCGGGGGGCGGTTAAAATGTATTGGTAGGGGGAAATTAGCTCATTCTACATAGGGTAAAAAATATGAACAAAGGCTGGGTGTGGTGGCTCAGGTCTGTAATCCCAGCACTTTGGGAGGCTGAGATGGGAGGATAACTAGAATCCAGGAGTTTGAGACCAATCTGGGCAACCCTGGGAGACCCATCTCTGCAAAAAACAAAACAAAACAAAAAACAAACAACAAACAAGCAAAAAACAATTAGCCAAGTATGGTGACACGTGCCCGTAGTCCTGGCTACTCGGGAGGCTGAGGTGAGAGGATCGCTTGAGCCCAGGAGTTGGAGGCTGCAGTGAGCTGTGATTGTGCCAACGGACTCCACCCTGAGCAACACAGCATGACTCTATCTCAAAAAACAAACAAACAAAAAAACCCCAAACAGTAGAAAACAAGCATCTGCTGCAACTGTCTCCTTGCTACCTCCCAAGTCACCTCCCTGGAAGCAGCCAGTTGCAGAGACACTGGTTCCAGAGGTAGTGCATTTCCAAGCACATGCATACATAGACATGTGTTTGAGGACAGGGCCAGGCCAGGTGATGCTAAAAGCCCAGTGAAGCCAGAGAAAGGCTGCACCAGGGCCTCTGGGGTGTGTCCTCATTACCTCCGTAACCTCCATCTGTGCTTCCCACCTGAATCCCCTGCCACGCTCCAGCCTTGCTGGATGTGCCCCAGCTCAGCCATTGAGAATGCTGCTCCCCGTCTGTATGACTTGCTTCATGTACTTCTCTTTGCTGAGAGAGGCTTTCTTCCTGTTTTTTGCCCAAAGAATGCCTATTTATCCTTCAAGACCTAGTTCCAGTGCCTCCTCTTCCAGGGAGCCTTCCAGCCCCACTCTGTGCCCTCACTCTGGGTTCTCTGCAATTCCACATTCGCTGACACCCAAATGAATATGCTTTCCTGCTTCCTGTTTCTGTGCCCCCACTGGACAGTGAGCCCACTGAGGGCCAGGGCCATTCTTGTCCCCTGTTGAATTGCTGAGTTCCAGTACAGCATATGTAGTACATAGATACTCCGTGAGTGGTGTTTATCTGATGTCTACTTAGCAGGCATTCTGTCTCACTTTTGCCTTTTGCAGCTTGGAAATCCACCCCATGGTGCACCTCAGCCTCACCCAGGCTCTCCCGCTTCTTGGTGCTCCAGAAGGGGCTGGTGGAGGTGGGGAAGAGGACTCCATGCAGAAGCTGTAAAGAGAGCGCTCTCTCCTTGAATCACACGTGGGAAGTGGCCCTCAACTCCCAGCACACATGGCTGAGAGGACTCAGAGGGGACTCACGTCACTGGGCTGGGGAGACTCAACCCCAAATTTCCCTTCCAGGGGGTTGCCCTGCTGGCGACAGGTGAGCAGGGCCGGGCTTGGTGGAGTATTCCTGGCAGAAGCAATGTGCCAGGCCTGCCTCCTCCCCACCCGTGCAGTGGGAGCAGGTGGCCTGGCTGTAGGGAGGGGGTAGGGAGACCCAAGATGGGGAGGGGCATGGGAGAGGAAATTGAAAAAACAGAGGGGGGCTTGGGGGTGTGCGGCCAGCCAGGCGGTTGTTTAACAAGTAAATGTGCCGGGCACGCTAATGAGCTGCGCTCATTCATGGTGAGCCGCCTCCTGAATCGGGGAGCTGGCCAGGTTCTGGGGTGGAGGAACCAGGGACGAGAGCCAAGCTGGGGAGCTGCCCGCTGTTTGGGCAGGGCCTCCCGTGATGGGCTGTCGGGGGAGTCTTTGTCCTGGGTCTCGGGGGCTCCTTCCTTCCCTCCCTTCAGAGGAAAAGCCAGGCTTTGCCAGGCAGCAGCAACTCAGCCCAGGGCCTGCTTGGGATTCACTGTCCAGGCTGATCTGGAAGCTTCTAGGGCAGGGGCTGGTTCTCAGGAGCCACAGGCAGGGCTAATCTTGCACCCCTGCTCACTCCCACCCCTCCTCACACCCTCTTCACACCCCTTCACTCTGTCACTCTGAGGACCAAGGGGCATGTCACCCGGCTAATCAACACTCTCTCCCTTCTCCACATGAGTCTTGGCTTCGAAGGGGCCCTCCAAGGTCCTGGGACTGGGGAGCTACTGCTGCAGCAGAAGGCTGGAGACCAGACATCTTCAACAGCCTAAGTGCTGTCTGTGACAGGCCTACTAAGCGCCAGGTGCTGGGGTGTGTGTCTGGGTGAGCAAGTGAGGACGCCAGGAGGTGGGCAGGGTTGTGGGGTGTGGAGAAGCAGCTGCAGGTGCTAAGAGGGGATAAACAAAGCAGCAGGCACAGAAGAATGTTACTCTGTCTGAGGCTACCGGGAGGGCACAGATAGAGGGGCTGGGGCCCCATGGAGCAGGAGCTGGTGAGCGGCAGGGCAGGGGCAGCCCTCTCAGACTCCAGCCTGGTTTGTGGGAAGCTTCCCTAATATCCTACCACATAGGCACCCCTGAGAAAGCCCTGCCCCCTGAGAAACTGAACTGATGTTCAAGAACCCACTGCCCAGATGGAGGTCATGGACAGGGATGGGTGAAAACTTTCAAAAGAACTGTCAAAAGCCCATGAAATCAGCCGCATAAATTGTAACATACTGTGCTATGACAGTAGAGAGACTGCAAATTTTTCATCAACATGGAAAAGAAAAACAAAGAAAACGCCTGAGCCTTGGGTACCTTGTGGGTAAGGGTTCAACCTTGTGGAGTCTATCAACATCCCCCATCCCCACCCCGCCGGATACTCTCCCCACCAAATGCATCCATGCTGTGTCTGGACCCCCGCCATTCCTGAGACGGGAGGTGTTTCTCAGGCTACCCAGCAGTGTCCTCTTGCCAGGCAGCCTCACATCGGGGCCCCGACTGCTGGGCACTGCCCCAGCGGGCCACAGCTGTCCTTAGCTTTGAGGAGATCTTTCATCTTTTCTGGGGTTGAGGAGAATTCTCTCCCCACTGGATGTCCTGTTCATGCCCACGTCCACACATGCCTTACAGTGAGGAAGGTCCCTACCCAGCTGGGTGTGAGGCCTGGGTCTGACGGGGGTGGCCTGTGGGGTTCTTTCTCAAGCAGGCCGCCCAGCCCTATGCCAGCCCTCTCTGTCTCCTTTGATGACAAGATGGAATATTCATTTTCATCTGTTTCCACCTGTCAGAAATGGAGGAACCCCGGTGTGAGTGGAGGAAGATGTTTGCCAGATTTCCAAGTCTCCTTAATGTCTCGTCCCTCTCTTCTACAACAGGGGAAGAAGCCCGTGTAACTGTATGGTACAAATGTGCCCTGCTGAGCAAGTGTCCCGATCAGAGCCATTCTCATACTGGGCATGGGGCTGGCTTGTTACCCTCTGAGAAGTGGGTGCATGGAGGTAGGAAGGAGACTGTACTTGGCCTAGCGCTTTCGTGGAGCGCCCCCCCCCCCCGCCCCCGGCAAAGCTCCACTCTCAAAGTCCAGGCTAAGTAAGGTTGGTGGCTTGAGGATGCCACCTGGGGCACAAGCACAGGGTTTCCCTTAACCAAGAATTGGCATAGCGAGTCAGGTGGGGCCTAGAGGCCGATGCTGCCGTCGGGGGATGGGGGAAACGGGTCTGACCCCGCTGGAAGGCGTCCAAGCAGCAAAATAAGACCTCCCTCCCACCATGCAATAGCAGCTGGGGCCGCGGGTGCCGGGGTGCGTGCGTCTAAATGTGTGCATCCTCGCCGTGTGTGTGTGTGTGTGTGTGTGTGTGTGTGTGTGTGCATGTGCGCGCGCGTGTGTGTAGAGCCAGGACTTGGCAGGTCGAGCCACACCCCCCTTCCCTCCCCTCCCCTCCCCCGCAGCCCCCTGCCCGCTGGCGGCGCCTCGGAGGTTCCACCTTTGAAACTAGGCGGCTTGCAGCCGCGGAGTGGTCGTCGGGAGAGGGGGGCTGCGGGCGGAGGGCGGGGAGGAGCCCGGCCCTGGATGTGTGCTTTTCAATTGATGGATGACTGCCGGGTGGGAGCGAGCGCGCGGGTGTGTGTGTGATCGTGTGTGTGTGTGTGTGTGTGTGTGTGGTGTGCTTAGGGTGCGTGCGCGCGCGGGGCCTGCCCATTTTCCTCCTCGCAGCAGTCAGTTGGGAGCTGGAGGGAGGGAGAGGGAGACGCAGGCGGCGAAACGGCAGAGGAGCCGAGCGCCCTCCGCCCAAGGCGCCCTCCCTCCGTCCGCGCACAGGCGCCGTCGCTTGGAGGAGCAAGGTGCCTCCCAACCCGCAGGGGCGCCGCGCGCAAGCCCGCTGGTTCTTTGGTGGCTCTGCCCCGGGACTGCACCTGGAGGCGGCCCCGGACGGGGATGGTCAGCGGCTGCCGCCGTCTGGCTCGCGAGCGGGACGCGGTGAGGGCACCATGGCGCTGACGCCCGGGTGGGGGTCCTCCGCGGGGCCGGTCCGACCCGAGCTCTGGCTGCTGTTGTGGGCAGCCGCGTGGAGCCTGGGAGCCTCGGCGTGCCCCGCCCTCTGCACCTGCACCGGAACCACGGTGGACTGCCACGGCACGGGGCTGCAGGCCATTCCCAAGAACATCCCGCGGAACACCGAGCGCCTGTGAGTATGGCCCCCGCCCCTGGCTCCCTGGCTCCGAGGTTGCCCTCCAACCCAGACGCAATTCCGGACTTCGGGGTGGGCTCCGCAGCCCACAGACGGGTCAGTTCTTGCCGGGGTCTTTCCCGAGCCAGGAGCCAGGAGCGCCGTGGTTTCCCCTTCCCTGGGATTCAAAGGGCCCTCGGCGGGGTTGTCAGCTCCCGTCCTCACACCTGCACCCTGCACTCTGCACCCGCCCTCCCCACTGCGCCAGCGCTTTATTCCTCCAGGGTGCCTGCGAACTGGTGCCAGAAAGCCTTCCTTGCACCCAGGAGGGACACTTCCCACACTGGCCAGGACAATGTCTCCTTTTGGGCACATGGGGCTACGGCCGCGTTCTGAGCCAGCTGCGCAGATTACCGCTCCCAGAGCTTGCTCCTGACGAAGGGCAGCAGGATGGGAGGCGAAGTTTCTGGTCTGCCCCTTCTTCTCCATTGTTTGCCCCAGAGCCTTGAGAATTCTTCCCCTGCAGGTGCCACGCGTTGGTCCTCTACTCACCCGCCTCCCTCCACACCCAGTCATCCCCAACGCAGGCAGACAATGGGACCTGAGGGCTTTGGGTATGTGGCTTGGGGTGTGTAACATTCAGCACCCGGAAAGGGGTAGGTGTGTCTTGGATGGAGAACCGGGTGGATAATGCCAAGAGGTCAAGAGCTTGGAGAGGGGGGCCCAAGGTTAAAGATATTGACCATGACAAGTCATAAAAAAACAGCATTTCTCTTCCCCTGTTCCCTCTCACTCGTAAATTCTTGAGGAAACTTGACCCTTTTCTAGACCCACTAAGCTAGTAGGATGTGTATGTGTGTGTGTGTGTGTGTTTGCGTGTGTGTATTTACAGACCTTTATACTTTGTTTTCTGTGAGTCTCCTGCATAATGTGTTTCTGTGTCAATTCCTAGTATTAAGGGGCCACCTTAATAGTGTGAGGCCATAAGAGTCCCCGTAATGGGCTGTGTGTGTGTAGATTTTGGTCACATGCAGGGCCTTTGTACTGCTCGCAGAGGTGACTGCACCAGGAGATTTTTGGACAGGGCTTTGGAGAAGGCTGCTGGCTCCTTTGAAACCTACCTACTCCTCCTTCCCACACTCCTTGGTGATTGCAGTGGCTCTCAGGAAAGGCATGCATATTTTGATAACTTTCGAGCACATTTTCATGGCCCCCAGCTGGTCAGAGACAGAAATCTGACCCTGAGGAGAGCTGTCTCCTGAATCAGACTCTGTACCAAGGCCAGCAATCAGTGAGCACATATTTGCCCCAGACTCTTCTTGGCTGCATCTGAAAAATTTCTGTGGAGGCTTCAGAGAATTTGCAATCTAGATGCAATCTAGATGGTGTGTGTGTGTGTGTGTGTTGCATGTGTGTGTGTGTGTGTGTGTGAATGCTTGTGTGTTACAGGGCTGGGGAGAGGTGGTACCAAACTGAGTTTCCCATGGGCAGTGTGTGCATTATCCTGTGTGGACCCGGAGAGGAACTGAGGGTCAGAAATCTGTCCAGAGGACCTCTGCGGTGGCCTGGTCACCCTCCATGCCTGTCCCCTCTGTACCTGCTCCCTGCTTCCCTTGCCTTGTCCACCGGAATTTCTCCTGAAGCTGCTATCCTGGTTGCAGCCTAGATCTAAGACACATTAGCTCCTCTTCTTTGCTTTTGAATCTTGAGTCTTAAAGTCATCTCCTCCATCCTTACTCACCACCTTTAGTGTTTAAGACTACCATGAACTCTTTAGCTCTTTTGTGATCAGAGTGAGATGAAAGTGAAATTTCCTAGTACAGAGGAAAGAGGTGGCATTCTGGGAGCTATACTACCTGGGTCCTCCAGCTCTGTCACCTATGAGCTGTGTGACCTTGGGCAAGTTACTTAACTTCTCTGAACCTTAGTTGCTTTCCATCAGGAAAATGGGGCTGAGGCGACATAAGGTATCTGGTTCTTGTGAGGATGGAAGATCATGTATGGGAAGTGCCTGGTACCTTCTGATGCTCACTAAGTGAGAGCCATTATTACGATAGGATAGGGAGGGGAATCTCATTATTTTAATTCAGCAAATGTTTCTGAGCCAGGAACTGCCCTGGGTGCTGAGGCGTCAGCAGGGAGTGAGCCCATCCCTGTCCTCAAGGGGCACATGGTCTAGAGAACTGGGCAGAGGACCTCTAATGGTAAGCTCTCAGAAGAGGGCCCGGCAGCCTCAGGGAACAGGCTGTGGGAACACTGGGGTGAGAAGCCCTTTTCCAGAGTGAAGGGGTTTCTCAGAGGATGGGCCACTTTATCAAGGTTGGTTTGGATTTTGCCAAGCACAGAGGGCAGGCAATCTAGGCAGAGGGAATAGCTGGGCTCCAGGCCCAGCACATTCTGCTGCTTTTCAGGTCATGGGGTCTGCTTTCTTGCAGACCTCTTTTTTCCCCCCTTTTTTTGTAGAGATGAGGATCTAGCTATGTTGCCCAGGCTGGTCTCAAACTTCTGGGCTCAAGCAATCCTCCTGCCTCCGCCTCCCAAAGTGCTGGGATTACAGGTATGAGCATAAGCAAAAAGCCTGCAGGTGTGAGCATGAGCCAAAAGCCTGCAGGTGTGAGTATGAGCCAAAAGCCTGCAGCTGTTGAGTATGAGCCAAAAGCCTGCAGGTGTGAGCGTGCCTGGCCCGATATGGGAAGATGGACCAGCTTGTCCCTGGGGCTGAAACATGCTGTGGCCAGTGGCCAGTGAGTGGAGTGGGACTTGAGGCTGGAAAGAGATGTTGGGAAGGGTCAGGAAACCTTTCTATATGTGAACTTTTCCTCTGGAATTGCTAGTTGGAATCCAGGGGTGAGTTATCCTGGGGAAGTGGAGCAGGTCTGATCTCTGCCATGTGGGCAAAGCTTCCTGGACTGGGAAAGTGCAGGGAGCCCGCCTGTTCTCCAGGCAGCCCGTGAAAGAGCTGCTCGAAGAGGAAAAGAACATCTTGAAAGAGGCCTTGGTAAGAGCCCAGGCAGACTCAAAATAACTGTGGCAAATGCTCTCTCTAATCAATATGAGTGTTGTGCAGTATCAGAGCCTGAAACAGCGGCTTCTTCTGAGGCTGTGAAATTTTTATGGACTGCAGCTGTGCATTTGCCTTTTGTCCTTTGGGCAGTTTCTGCAGCAGCCTGTGAGGCCTGGCAACTTTATGATCATATATTCTATAACTCTGGGTCCAGGCGTGTCCCCCGAAATGGAAAGAAATTGTTATTGGTTTGCTGTGGGGACTTTGGGGAAGAGGTTGGGTAGGCCCCAGAGCTGCTGAGGAAATTGGTTCAGCCAGAGGGGCTGTGGGGCTGGTCAGCTGGGCAGCAAAGGGATGCTAAATAATTCACTGTAATGAACAATTAAAATACAGAGCCAGGGCTGGGAGAGGCGGCGGAGGAGGCCCAGGAAGCTTTCTCTCTTTGTATTGCCCAGGCGCAGAGGGACCCAGCCATGGTCACCATTAAGTTATTTTTTTTTCTTCCACAACGACCTTGACTTTCAGTTGGACTTGATTTTTAATTACAAAAATCTTTTAACTAGAGTGTCCAGGAGAGTGTGAGAGTGCAGTATGCGTGGACATCGCTGGTGCCCCCAGCCCTCGGCACACTGGGTATTTGAGGCTTGCGGAAGATTCCCCGTGTGGGTGCAGAGAGGGGAAGTTGCCTGAGGATGGAGGGAGTCAGCCAGGGCCTTTGGGAAGGCCTACTGTTCTCTCTTTGCCTCCAGGCCCAGCACATTCTGCTGCTTGTCAGGTTTTTTTTTCCCTTTTTTTGTAGAGATGGGGATCTAGCTATGTTGCCCAGGCTGGTCTCAAACTTCTGGCTCAAGCAATCCTCCTGCCTCAGTCTCCCAAAGTGCTGGGGTTACAGGCATGAGCCACTGTGCCCAGCCTTGCCGTCCTCCTTATGTGCCCTTCCCTCCTTGCCAGTTCACCCACCCTGCCCTATCTCCATGCCTGCTGTAGAGGCCTGGGAGGCCCTCTCTAGACTCAGCTCCCTGAGCTCGAGGTCTCATTTAACAGGGCTGAGTGGTCACACATAAGGGAGGCTGCCCAGGGCACCTGAGGCTGATCCTCTGGGGAGCCTGTTTGAAATTCCAAATAATAATTGTATGGTGACCTTGGTAAATGAGGTCAGGGGCCACTGCAGCCACATCTGCCATCAGGGCCTGGTTGGATCTGAGCAGGCCACCAGGGTCTCCTGCAGCAGAGACCTGAGCTGTGCAGGGGAGGTTCCTCCTGGCAGGGCAAGAGTCCCCTGCTTGCTTAGGCTTTGGTGTGGCTGCCAGCACACTGGCTTATTGCTGGGCTCTGAATGACTGGTGTTAGGACCCCCATTCTGTGCCTCTCCCTGCTCTGAGACCCAGTTTCCCCATCTGTAAAAGGGGATGACGACAGCTGTGCAGGTTGATAGTGAGCAGTGAGTGAGGCAACGTGCCACACTTGGCACATGGCTGGTGTTCGCCCTTGCCTCGGCCTCTGGGGCTGATGACACCTACTACCTCGAAGGGCCTTTGCACTCACTCATGCTATGGTTGTGAAAATGCTTTGTGATTCAATCGTTAGGATATTATTGTTATTTGGAAAGCTCAAGCTAGAGGCTCAAGGGTTTGGGTGGGGCAGAAGAGAGCTCGGGAGGTAAGGATTTGAGCGCTGGCTGTCTTGCAGTCTGTCTGCTTAGAGCGCAGTCTGTCTATTTAGAACACTCATTTACCTTTCCTGGGCATCTCTGGCCCTTTCCCTGGGGATTTGGAGACAGAGTGGGGACCGTATGCAGGGCGGGTGGTCCTGATGGCAGGGCTGTGAAGCCAGACTGCCTAGGTTTTTAACCCCACTCTGCCACTCAGCAGCTGGGAAGGCCTTGGGCAAGTGATGGGGTTTAATTCCCTCATTCAACAGATAGCTATCTATTGAACGTCTGCATTGTGCCGGGTGAATAGTGCCGGACAGAAACAGAAACCCCAGTTTTAGTCCAGCAGGGGAGATAGAGATG